CTAGATGAACCGATATATCGTGGAATGCAATTTTAGATTTCCCATGTCGTTTCATACATCGTCTGCTTGTATTGAAAATTGTTAAAGAGGGAGATTTTAATAAAAATTTGAATTTCGGTTTCGAACACCTAGAAATCCTTGAGTTTCCACTTTTGATTTATTCTCTTCTCTTCTTGAAAATTGGAAAACTACAGACCCATCAGCCTACTGTCACACCTGTTTAAAATACTCACCAAAGTCATAACTACTCGACTAACAAGAAAATTAGACGAATACCAACCATAAGAACAGGCAGGTTTTAGAAAATGCTATTCAACTTCCGATCACCTGTTAACCACAAAAATATTAATAGAAAAATGTAACGAATACCAGTTTCCAGTTTTCCTAGCGTTTGTAGACTACGAAGAAGCTTTCGATACCATAGAACACACGGCCGTAATAAACGCAATGCAAAATTGTAGAATAGACAGCAGATATATTAACTTAATAAAAGAAACTATGAACCAAGCTACAGCTACATACTACCTAAGTTAAAATGATCACACGAACCCTGTACCATTAAACAGGGAAGTCAAACAGGGAGATACTTTATTCGCCCAAACTGTTCACCTTAGTTTTGGAGGACGTTTTTAAAAACCTAAATTGGAAATATAAGGAATAAACATCAATGGCCGCTACCTCAGTAATCTACGATTTACAGATGACATAATCCTGATAGCTACTGACCTACAAGAAATGTAAACCATGTCTTTAGAACTACATACCGAATCTTCTAAAATAGGACTGAAAATGAATTTAAACAAAAGAAAAGTCATGCACTCCGAAGACACCGTGACAATAGTAAACGATAAAGTTATAGAAAAAGTTGAAGAATATATATATATATATATATATATATATATATATATATATATATATATATATATAAATATATATATATATATATATATATATATATAATATATATATATATAGGACAAAAAATAATACTAAATAGGGAAATTCAAACTAAAGAAATAAAAAAAAAGGAGAAAGTTAGCTTGGGCAGCGTTCGGTAACACTGAACTATATACTCAGAAATCAACAAATTCAATTATATCTTAGATCTAAAGTTTTGATGCATCATTATTCGATAACTTGCGCACAACATGGACCATCACAAAAAGAATATAATACGTGGAACTTGGTTATAGCGTCATTGAAGGGTCCAATAAAAAAAATGACGCTATATCAGAGTGACGTTAAAAAAGAGGTTGAGAAAAATAAAATTTTAATGAGGGAAAATATTATTACAGCATTATTGGGTATAGTAGATATATTATTTGTTAATTACTCTGGGCCTAAACATGATAATTTAACATAGTTTACGATATACCGAAAATATAACATTTACTTAAGTCAAATTTAAAAAAAAACAAGAATCATTTTAGGATAAAAAACAATTAAAAAACAAAACATATTATGTATGTATATGAAACTTACATTGTGTAAAAAAGTTCTATTGCTGAAAAAAGTCCGTTATTTTCTTTTGCACAACCCTTTCCGAAAAATAAAGTTTTTCTGTTGTTTCCTTAATAAGCTGAGCTGCTTCTTTGGTATTTGTGGATGCCTCCCTGAACTGGTAAAACCTGGATATGGTCTCAGCAGCTCTCATTGCTTCTTGGATTGTAGGACAAGCAACGATGTCTTCTTCTTCTTCAGCTTCATCGACATCCATTTCCACGTTTTGCACCAGTTCAACAATTTCTTTATCACTTAGGACTTGAAATGTTTCCACCTCATCGTCTACTGAAATGTAGGAGTCAAGATCAGTTCCGAACGCTCCCTGATTCACATTAAATTTTTGTATCCACTCTGACAAAGGCATTTCGTCATCTTTATCAACGTCCTCAACATTGAGAGAAGCTACAGTCAATTTTGCTTGACGAAAACACTTATGAATTGTCACTGACGTAACCGCACTCCACGCATTGTCTAAAAACTGAACAGCATCCAGGATGGTAATGTTCACAGGTTCTCCATTATCCATACAAAAAATCATTCTTTTTAAAAGCTGTTTTCGATAATGGCACTTTAAACTTCTTATGACTCCCTGGTCCATAGGCTGCAAGACACTCGTGCAGTTGGCTGGTAAGAACACTAGATTTATATTGGTCAAATTAAGTTTGGGATGGGCTGCACAGTTGTCAACTAGGAGAAGAATTTTTCTTTTTTTGAAAGAGAGTTCCTTGTCCCACTTTCTCAATTCTTCTTCAAAAATAGCAGAAGTCATCCATGCTTTTTTATTGGCTGTGTAGTTTACAGGTAGTGTTTTAATGTTTTTGAAACATCTAGGATGTAAACTTTTCCCAATAACCAAAAGCTTTCTTTTCTCTGTACCTGTCATATTTGCACAAACAAAAGCCGTCACTCTTTGCTTGGAAAGTTTTCCACCGACACATTTTTGATTTTTGAAATTTAAAGTTTTGTCTGGCGTTAATTTATAAAAGACACCTGTCTCGTCACCATTAAAGATATCTTCATCTTTGTATGGTTGCCTTTGTTGTGGCCATGTGTTTTGTAACCAGTCACTTGTTACGTTCTCGTCCACACATTTTGCCTCTCCAACAATTTTCGAGAAGGAAATTGAGTGCCTGGCTTTAAACCGATCTAACCAGCCGTTAGAGCATGTGAAATCTTCACCAAACAATTTTCCGAACTCTGTAGCTTTCTCCTTTAAAAGTGGCCCGGACACAGGGATATCAGAACTGCGACACTGCTTGAACCATTTGAGTAGAGCTGAATCTACATCACCACGAATGCACTTCCTAATCTTTTTAACATTGTTTCCGTCCTCTTTAAAGGCTTTTAAAATTTTGTCCTTGTTTTTTATGATTGAGCCGACAGTCGAATTAACAAGTCCAAATTGCCGGCATACATCAGCAATTTTTCGACCACTTTCAAATGCTCTTATAACACGCACTTTTTCTTTAATAGGCAAAACCTTCCTTTTAGTGCTACAACTTGCCATATTAAAAAATAAAAGCTAATTACCAAATTAAAATAAAAAAAAAAAACAAAACGATCCGAACACAATTTCACGGTAGCGAAAATTTCTTAAACCGACTGTTCCGAAACAGAAAATTTGACTGTTAGGAGTGTTAGGACGGCACTGATAAATGCGAAATTATAGATTGTCAGGGTAACATAACTGTACACAGAAGGGATAATGGACCTTTCTTACATTCTTGGAAGGAACAAATGCCGCAAAGCCAGAAACGCATTGCACTTTATTCTTCATAAAATAAAAAAAGGATAACCTACTATAAAATTTTATGACGCTATAACCGAGGGTTAGTTTATTTTTAGCCGATAAAACCGGGTTTTTAATAACGTTATGGAATAGTTTTTGACCGGACCTATTAAAAATTGACGTTATAACCGAGATGACGTAACTACCGAGGCCGTAATAAGCGAGTTCCACTGTATACTTAGAGTCACTCAACACGCGATGGAAAGAGCAATGCTAGGTATATCACTTAAGGACAAGAAAACAAACACATGGATAAGACAGAAAACCAAAGTCACCGATGTGGTGCAAAAATCATTAAAGTTGAAATGGGAATACGGTGGACATGTAGCTAGGAGCGATCTAAACAAATGGCACAGATCAATTTTAACCTGGAGACCATACCAACACAAAAGACCCAGAGGCAGACCTCCTATGAGATGGACAGATGATCTGAAAAGGACTGCCGGGAAAAATTGGCTACAAGTAGCGTACAATAAAAACAATGGAAAGGAAGACTTGAAGAGGCTTATGTTCAGATGTGGACGTGAATGGCTAGACGAAGAAGAAGAAGAAGCGCCGTTATAAGTTATTTTATTATTACTTCCTATGACGAAAAAGATTTGATTTCCTTCTTGGACGAAATACGTTTAAGCGAATTGTAAAGACACGTATACGTAAAATCAAATCCTAACTGTCTTTTCTAAATCAAGCTAAAGTTCAACTGGACTCGAGCCTATAACAAAATGGCACACTTGAACTAAGATTAGTAGGCTTGAAGGCACAGACATTACTAACGAATCTCGGGTCTGCTCCTACAACAAAAAAGTTAAATACCTGCTTTCACAATAGCGCTTCCCTTTTCACATTGCATATAATTCTTCTCTTTTTTCAACTGCAAAGGCGATAAAAAATTGTAAAATGATTCCCCCAGGCTTTAAAAGAAAGCAAATTTGCAAAGACAGTATTAATTTTTTGTTCGCCAAGAGATGGAGTGCCAAAATCAAGTAGCAATCCCCGAAACGAGAAACGACAAAAAATTCATCCCCTTTAGCTACTTAAAAATATGTGCCCTGTTATAGGAAGGACAGGACTGTAACAATATTTTGTAGTAGGCAGAGGCATGTAATAAAATGAAGCTATTCTCGCTTTTATTTTTGTATACATGTTTTTACGAGTATCTTGATTCAATTAAAATTAATCCCTTTGATAAAAACATCTTAGCTAACCGCCTAGCACCATGTCTTCTTTGCCTTGCACCAATTCTACTTTATCCAAAAACCTGTTTTATAACTTTACAGTACAATTAAACCTAGAGCTAAGATTAATACTATTACAGGAATTAATATTAAACTCAACAGTATTCCCTGTTGAACCGCGTCGATTATCCTTGCGCCAAGCTTTGGGCATACTCTTCGATGTCTGCTTTAGAACTTCTGAAGTCACAGTCTCCCGAGCCCCCAGACACTACTACACTGATCAGTAATGCATTGGTTGGTGTGCGCATAAAATTAGAAAGTGTTTAGGAGTATTCCTCGTGTAATAGCTTCAAAGTCTTTATTAGCAAAATATTCAAAACAGCTATATAGAGTTTTAAGATCAGTAAAAGTACTAGGCAAGTTATCTTTTCTTTTGAATTGTATTTGCTTTTATATATATATGCTTCATACTTGACGGATTTCCAAGGACAAGGAATTGCTTGGTACAATTTCTTTTAAACGCCGACGTTTACTGGCTTTTGTACTCAGTCCAAGTACTAACCGTTTGCTATTTTCTCTACTTAGTTCAAGTACTGACTCAGGAACTTCCGTTACCGCTGCAGAAACTTCACTTTCAATTTCTGCATCCAAATTTACGCTATCAATATTTTTGTCTATTGCCGATTCACTCATAGTCTGACAGATATTGATGGCTTCTTTATTTTTCAAATGTAACATCTCAGTAGTATTGAAAGAATAAATAAAATCAGAAATGACCTCACTGTCTTCATCATCCAAAAAACCTCCATCATCATAAGTGTTTAATTCATCGTCTTCCAGCGAGTCTAATAATCCAAATATATCATCTTCCAATATCTCATAGATATTTAATCGACCTTGCAGATACATGTCTAAAAATAAAGATTATTATTATATATGTGAAATCATTTTAAAGAAAAATAAAAAAAAGTACGGGAACAATTGAACCATATATAAATATTATGGCAAATTTTCATTGGGGTCTGCCCATGTACGCCTTCAGGCAGGCATGACTAATAAGGCATTTTACAAGTTTATTTAGTCAATTTTTTTCTCCATAAACAATTTTCATAGATTCGATGTATATCCGAGCGATATATAAATTGTACGAAAATGCAGTTAGTTGTGTAAAAATTGCAACCAGAACTTCAAATGAATTTAAAGTCACTAAAGGCCTAAAGCAAGGATGATGTTTGTCACCGACACTCTTTAAAATATACGTCCAAGAAGCATTGAGAAATTGGAGAAATAAATGTAGATTTATGGGCATCGAAGTGGGACAAGAAACTCTGTATACATTGTTATTTGCAGATGATCAGGTGGTGGTTCGCAACCGATGAGGAAGATATAAATTATATGAATCGAAAATTATTTGAGGAATATGCCAAATGGGGCTTACTGTAAATATAAGCAAAACAGAATATTAAAAAATTGGAGAAAATACCACAGATCTGAGGCTTGAAAACGCAGTCATAAAAGGTTGCAACCAGTATAAATATCTAGGAAGCATCATATCAGCAGATGGCAGAGTTAAAATAGATGTACAAAACCGAATAACAAGGAAAAAATGCATCCGAATACTGAATTCATTACTGTGGTCTAATAAAATAAAGATGCATAACAAACTTCGTGTATACAGAATAATTGTAGAACCAATTACCACATATGGTGCCGAATGTTGGACGATGACAAAGCATGAACGAGATAAAGTAGACGTTGTGGAAATGGATTATCTTAGAAGGTCATGTCGAGTATCGAGAATGGAAAGAATCAGGAATGAGGAAATACGAAACCGTACAGGAATTAGAGATACTCTTTCAGATAGAATACAAGAAGGCAATTACAATGGTATGGTCACGTGATGAGAATGGAGGAGGAGCGGTGGCCAAAGAAAGCCTTAATGTATGTTCCGCCAGAAAGAAGGAAAAGGGGAAGACAACCAAATTCCTGGAGAAGAGAAATTACAAAAACAATGTAATCTAGAGGCTTAGAAGAGGAAGATTTAAGAGAAAGGAAAAGATGGAGGCTGAAATGCGGGAAGCGGCAATCGCCGTAGGACCCCCGTTATATGATGATGATGAACAATTTTCATATAGAACAATACATTACAAACTTACCTGTAATTTTTAATAGATGTGATGTGACCTATCACTACCAAAGCTAACACTACCCTGAAAATTACAGCGTAAGCATGTCTCTGATCGGCGAAATTTTGTAATAACCAGTATATATCCGATCTAGTCTAGAGGCTGGTTTGGGTATTGCACCTATAAAGTTGGGCACTAGAGGGTTACATAGCTTAAGAACCAATTTACTTTCCTGAATTAATAAATAATATAGAAAAAACTATTCATAATCATGTTATCCGCAATGTTTAAAGGGTAATATACGAAGCCATTAAAACTACATAATGAACTTGAATGGGCAAAATGTTGATATTGATTTACAGTAGCTTCACAATATTTTTTAATTGTAGTTTTTAATATACAAGAACTTAAAGATATAGGTTTGTAAGACTCAACGTTGTTATCTGGCTTTAATGGCTTCTTTGTAGGCAATACAATATAGTCCTTCCATGTTTTGAGAATTAAATTCTCATTTTGCCATATATTGTTAAAATTTGTAATAATAATGATTTGTATTTTGTGGGTAAAAAATATAGAATAGAGTATGATATACAGTACATCCCTAGAGACGAACTATTATTTTTTTGAGTCCATGATTTAATTCATACAATTCCAATTGTTTTTTTAGATTGGAATATTCTCTGAAACAGTGACTGCAGCTTTGTTTATTTGATTTGGTACCCAAGGAGGTAAAATATTGAAGTGGAAATCTTCTATCTATGGATATTATATGTATAGATTTATTGATACAAGGAAGTTTAACAGTCACGCATGTGTAAATAAAATTATAATTATCTAATAAATTTATTTCTTCTGTAATTATTTTATCTCTAATTAAATTGCTGTAACTCCAATATCCATCTGGGCGATCAGATCTAAAGCAATTATAACCAGAGAAGTTATAAAATTTTGCTGGTTTAAACCATGTTTCTGATAACATGGCCACATACACATTTTTTTGAATAAGTAAGGCTTCTAAATTTGGTTTGTTAGAAACTGCTGAGCGACAGTTCCATTGTAATAAGTTTATAGGGCTAGGTATGTCTGAGAAGATGACGTTTGACCAAGTAGTTTAGTTATTGGTTTATTGTATAATCTCTATTTTTGGTGTGTCTAAATTGTCAGTGAGTTTTAATGAACTAATTATATTAAGAAACAATTCTAAAATTACATTATTTACAACTGATGATACTCCTTGATGATATTATATAAGATATACTTAATGAAGTCACGCCATTCAACTTCTATCACCAACATGTGATTATGTAGTCTAATTATAGTGTATGGAAAGTTTTATTTAAAATAAAACCAATCATAAATTAATGATTTTTATATTTTATCCACATTTCCACTATATCCTAAATTTATAAAATAAGCATCTATTACAAATGGCAAGAAAATAAACCATACTATTGACGAAACTTAAAAAAAATCTTTATACATTTCTATACTTCCTAATTTCGTTTAAAAGTGTTAACTTTTCGTATTGAAAACTTTTTCAGTTCCGCTCTGTATTCAGTGTATCACTTTCAGATACATGCGTCGGCGAAGAGAGGATTATGGAAGCTCTGAGACGACCGAAAAACACGTCTGGATCAGAAATTCGGGAATTACGATGATGCAGTAGGACATTTGCCAGTTTTTTGTCCAAAGTTTCGCACAAAAGCAGTTGTGATAGATGGTGGAAGAACGCTATTCATTGGATCGAAATGAAAACGCGATTGAAGAGTTTTTATAGTTTTTATCAAAAGCAAAATTGTTTTTAATAAAGTCAGCAAAAAGTTTAAAGAGTGAAAAGTGGATTCAAGACATTTTGCAACTGCGTACCATAGTAGATTTTATAGGGAATCAGTAACTCCCATATTTTTTTTTTGTTTTAAATAATATAGGGGAGAAGAGGGAGACTTGATCATATGGGAGACTTGATCACTCTTTAAAATTTCAGTAAATAAGTAGCCTAAAATTATAAAACCGGCAACAAAGCGTAGCTGTTAGTATGTCTGAAGATCCCATTTAATTTAGTTTGTATTAGAATCCACAACGAAGAGCACGTGTTTATTACAAGTTTTTTGTCCCTACCGAGAAGTGTTTTCAGAATTATTTCAAGTTGATTTTCTTTAATATTCGTTAAGGTGAGTTTTTCGTATAATTTTTATTTAACACTATAATCATTCAGTTTACGTTTTGCACATTTTGCAATGAGTTCTAGTTTGTCGTCATATTTTTATAGACAAAAATATTCAAATGGCGTCTTGGGGGAGACTTGATTACATCTTATCTGGGAGATGTGATCCCGGGATCAAGTCTCCCAGAAACTCCTTATAGATGAGTGTTTTTTATTTTATAGATATGCCACGTCAATACAAAAGGAGGGAAGGAGCAAAGAAAAGAACACCAGTCGACAGCCAGAAGTTAAAAGAAGCTGTATTAGACGTTATTAATAACGGAACGTCTCTCAAGGGAACGGCAAGTCGTTATCAAATAAATGTTATGACATTAAAAAGATACGTTCGCCGACAACGATCTGAAAATGTTGAAATAACCTATTATCCTGATTACAAGAAGGCTCAAATTTTTACAAATGCAGAGGAAAATATGTTTAAAGATTATTTAGATGTTGCCAGCAAATTACACCATGGCCTTACAACCAAACAAGCAAAAGAACTAGCATACGAGTTTGCCGTAAGAAATAATAAAAAAAAACCTGCTTCGTGGAATAAACATAAGCAAGCCAGTTACGACTGGTTATACGGATTTCTGAAGAGGATGAAGACCTTATCACTACGATCTCCGGAAGCAACCAGTCTTACTAGAGCAACTAGCTTCAACAGAAACAATGTATCAAAATTTTTCATAAATTTAAAGACAGTTCTTGAAAGCAATGGAATTGGACCAGAAGCAATTTGGAGCATAGACGAAACTGGCCTTTCAACTGTCCATAAGCCAAAGAAGATTATTGCATGCAAAGGTGCAAAACAGGTTGGTAAAATTACGTCAGGGGAACGTGGACCAACAGTAACTCTTTGTGGTGCAATCAACGCAATTGGAAATCATATACCGCCTTTTTTGGTTTTTCCTCGAAAACTTTGGCAAAATCGCATGATTGATCATAGCCCACCAGGGACCACCGGCGTAGTTTATGAAAGTGGATGGATGACCGCTTCTAATTTCGTCAAATTTTGGAACATTTTCAAAAACATGTAAAGGCGACTACCGACAATAAATCTTTAATCATAATGGACAATCACGATAGCCACGTTAGTCTGGAAGCCATAACGTATGCCAAAGCACACGGAATAGTTCTTCTTACCATACCACCACATACGTCGCATAAGCTCCAGGCGTTAGACACGAGTGTATTTGGCCCTCTCAAGAGTTTTTATAATACTGCCTGTGATGATTGGATGGTGGCGCACCCAGGAAGGACAATTACAATATATGAAGTCGGAGGATGCTTAGCTTACGCTTTCCCCCTAGCTTTTACTCCACGTAATATTGAGAGTGGATTCAGAGTTACGGGTATATGGCCTTTCAATTCCAATATTTTTACCGATGAAGATTTTATGTCGGCGTATGTTACTGATCGCGAAGATCCGGAAAACAAATCCACTTTATCCCAGTTTGATGTTGCACAACCAGCCATAGATAACAATAATCAACCCTCCACTTCTACTGGCACTTTCACCACCCCTGAAATTATTAGACCACATTCCTCAAGTGGATCCATTTCACATAATCAACAACTA